TTTTTTTTTTTTTTTTTTTTTTTTTTTTTTTTTTTTTTTTTTTTAACTAATTTAAAGTACAAGCAATAAAACCAAAGAAATTTGCATGCAAAATATTTTTAATTCTATATATGCTATTGAATTTCAATCTTTTCACAAACGAATTTTTTTAAAATGATGAGACAAATTATTTCTTTATTAATATTATTAATAAAAACATTTATTGATGATTTGAAAAAAAATATAATATGCATGAAAGTGAATATATTTATCAAATGTAAAAATATTAACTATTTAATAATTAATTTTTCAATAAAATTGTTTTTAATTTTTTTAAGGATACGTTTTCTTTAAAAAATTTAAAAAAATTAAAATTTGTTAAAAAAAACTACAGAATCTACACAATCTTTTAATAAAAGAAAAAAAAGAAAAACTAAAAGCATTGATAATACTTTATTTTATTTGACAATCACTGTTTTGAAATTATTGTAGAAAAAAATGGTTTTCTATCATTAATAATAATAATTTGATTTTAAAATAAAGTATAATACAAGTACAATACAAAATATAATACAAGTCTATACATCTTCTTCTAACAGTACAATTTCTTCTAACTACAAATCTCTCCTATTAGAATTGTTAGTTTCAGCCAATGGTCTCGATCGTGTAGTAGAGACTAGTACTAGCGCGATAACTCGCTTAATGCACACATGTCGTATCTAATGGGATATAATCAGTCGAGTAGCGGTTGAGTGTAGTTTAATGGTTTGTTCACTCACATTAGACCATACCAACGGACTTCTCTTTCGTATTCATGTTCGATCTCTTCAGTCTTCCTTGTATATATCTTTAATCTAATTCTCAGGATAATCTAGATATTAAGAAAAATAATAATAATATGAAAATTAATTTAAAGTTCAAAGTTTGAATTAATTCAGATAGGTTAGATAATTAAATAGGTGGATAAGGCATTAAATAAAAACTAGATTAAAATGTTAAATATTAGGTTCTTCAATATATAATAATTAAAAAATTGCACTACTATGATTTGAGAACATGAAATACAATGAAAATTGCAATAAATGCATCAAAGTACAAAATTAGGTTAAGGTTCGTGTTAAATGTCAGGATTGAGATTTAGTATTAGATTTTAGGTTAGTTTTTCTATTCAAATGACTATAATTACTTACAATTTAGAATTTAAACTTAGAAAAAAATTTCTTCTTCAAATCTTACAGCAATCGATTTAGAGTTCAGAACATAACCTCTTCTCTCCTCTCTTAATGAAACGTCTGCAATAAACTGAAAACCCTCTGGAGGCAGGGATGAACGCGCAATTTGCGGGCCAAGCCGGCTTCCTCGAATAATTGACGCAATTTCCGCGCTACAACCAACGGCCACCGATGACTCTGTGAATGCGAATCGTACGGACTAACGGACCGGTAACAATCCACCAGTGGACGTTAATGTTTAAGCACGCTCGAACGATTTCGAGTATCGCGCATCTGAATCGAAAATACCTGCTCTGTACAGGAATTGCTGTCGTCCTCGCGACATCGGGCATTAGGAAACTCGAATTAGTTTCGTGCTAGGAACATTTAAGCACGGTGACAATTATTTATTTAACCGATTGACAACAACTAACGAACACATATGTAATTTTGTATAATTTAATTCTACTTTTTATTGGATTTATTTTATTTTTTCGATTTCTACGAGGTCTATATTTTTTCTCGATCTATCGAGTTATTTTTAATAATTGTTTAAGAAGTTAATGAAACGTTTCATAATGGAAAAAACTAATATAATAAAATAATATAATAAGGATATTTGTTTTGTCTTTTTTAATAATTAATTAAATAATCATGAATTATTTATATTGTCGTAACAATAAGATTTATGTAAAATATTGAAATATTATATTAAATATTTTCCTAAGTTTTCAATTATATTGATTCGATTCGATTTGATTCGATTCAATTAAACTCGATTCTATTCGATTAAATTAGGTTAAATTAATTTGATGTATTGAAATTAATTTTTATTTTTATTCAATCATTATATTTATAATGAAAAATAAATTATAATTATATGAGGTAACAAGAAAATCATTTCAATTTTTTCGAAAAAGGTAATATCTCGTTTTTTTATGAACGATTTGATTAATACGAATAAATATGATATGGTAATCGAAAATCATCGCAATTCTCTGGAAACGCTACGTGATTCATATTGTAAAAATTGAATTCCGTCAGGCGTAAAACAATTAGAAAATTACTATTGAAAATAAGTCAAATCAAATTCCATTAATAACAAATATTAACCACCTGTAATCCATGGTGAAATCTATGATTCCATCTTGCGTTTTCGAATTACGAGACATAAATTCCACCAAACATGCCTTATCGTGTTTCCCTTAGGGACTTCCGTCTGGTTGACCCAAATGCTTTCGGATTGACCCAGTTTCTGAACGTTCTCTAGGTATGTGTCTCGTTTATCTCCGCGGGAAAGTTCTCTTCTGTTTCATCGTTTCGGTTTTATCGTGGAAACATATTGTGTTCGCAGCTGCGAAATAGGAAAATGAAAAAGATATCTGTCAGATAACAGCTTCAATATTAGATTGCATTACTAGAGGAATTTTTATTGCAATATCTTTGAACAAGTAAAAAGTTTGGAAGAAGAATTTCAATATAAAATAAAATTGTAATACGTATATTAAATTTAAAATCTTGTAGAAGATATGTTGCAGAATGTAAATTCATTTTATGTAACTTTAAAGTGATTTTAAACTTAGAAATGTAAGATTTATTGGAAGACATATATAAAGTTAGGTTAGGATAAATTAGAATCAAAAGCAAATTAATAAAAAGGTTAAGTTAATAAATTAAATTTAAATTGGATTTTTACTTCATTAGAATGAAATTTTTATAATATTAAATTAAAATAGATTTAAATCCGAAACAGGTTAAATTAGGTTTAAGTTTGAATTATTTTTAGATTAGGATCAGATATAATTTATCATATTAAATCGAATTAATTATTTTATTTGAATTAGTTATATTAAACGAAATGATCATTAATATATTATATATATATAAATTAAATTATTTATCTTACTCATCTATAGACACGAAAGGATTAATGTTGCAAGAGGAACAAGCCAAAATCGATATGTGACAGAGACATTAACGTAAATCCGCAGGAACGTTGTACTTAGCCCAAAAGCAGTTCGTAGAGAGGCTTGAATCCATAGGATAGCGTGTGTGTTAACGCACACTTACTAGCACATCGTTAGTTGACTGTATACACCAAATGCATCTGTTGGTAGTTGTTGTTATGCTCTTGCTTGGTTGTGTGTAGAGAAGGATTTTGAATACGAATTCAGTTCTACGAAAATTTCGGGGACACTTCACCAACGACTATTACATTAGCGGGATAATTGGAGCTGTCACGGTTCGTCTCTCGAATAATAACGTAGTCAAGATTATTATTCCCTAAAATAGAACGTTATATTTCATTTATTTAATTTTGCATTAATCATATTACGTTGAAATTAAAATTTCTTTAAAACTTTCATATGAAAAGAAATTGAAAATTTTAGAGTAACTGAATTTTGCGAGGTTAGGTTGAAATATTGATTAAAATATTTATAAAATTTGGTTAGAATTGATTAAAATTTGAGATTGATGTTAGATTTATTTAAAATACAAATATCATTAGTCGAATAACACAATAAAAAGAAAAAAAAAACTATTATTCTCTTCTATTAAAAATGTCATATTTTCCGTTAGCCAATTCTGAATGTTACACGTAAAAAATTCTATTCATCAGCGATATGCGATTGTTCCAGTGGACTCGATCGATAATCGTTTATCGTAGAAAACCAGAAAGACTTCTGGAAATATGTTTTTCCTAGCTTCGAAAACACAAAAATCGAAACCATGCCACAATAAAATAAAGAAATACAGTGCTATCATTACAAGTTGTATCCTATTCTGCGTTCTTTTCTACTATTGCATTGTATACGTATTTTTTTATAATTTTTTTCTTCTGATCAAATATCATTTTTCTATGAAATAGTTTGAATTTTTATCGATTTTTAGAAGTGCCAATTATATTTTTTCATTTGTCAAAATAATTACAAAAATTCTCTTCATATGTAAAATTTTTAAATTAATTTTTACTATATAGTTAATAAAAATGAGCTTTTAATCATTAAATATATATATCTAAAAATACAATTTTTCCAGTATTGTTAGTCTATTAATATTATAATATTATAATATTATATTATATTTTTTTATTTATAAAAATAATTAAAGAATTTTGTTTCATCTATAAGATCTCTTTGTTTATTATCACAATACTGTTTTTTGCCTCTATTTCACTTTATCTAATGCAAACTTAAAACGTTTAAAAATTTTAATAAATTTAATATTTTTAAATTTTTATTTTTGTTTTGAACTCTCTCTAAAATTGACTTAATAGACTTCAAAGATATATCATTAATATATATTAATATCTATATCTGTGTAACTATTGAAAATAAATTTTGATTATGATGAATTATTTTATGAAAGTAATAAATTTAAATAAATATTGATATATGAAAAATTCTAGTTATTCTAATTGTTACTAGAGACTTTGCTGTTGATTCAGATAAGAATCTATCCCACTCCAGGATATAAATTGACATTAAGTCAACCATCGTGGAGTCAGAATTCAGTTTCTATCCTATGGCAATGAATGTGGATTAACTCCATGTTACATAGGGCTTATATAGGGTTGGTTTACGAGGAATGCTGTGGGTGAGAACTGATAAATAGACATCGATTACAGGCATAGTCCACTACAACCACATATTGAAATAGGATTCTACTATGAGAAATCGTGTTTTGTATTAGCGGCCGCTATTGATACTCTATAACCTATAAAATCAACTTTCACATTTTGTCTTCTATCATTTCTAAATAATTTTACTGAAATTTTAATCTTCTTTTTTTAATCTCTGATTAAATTTGTTTAGATCGACAATATCAAGAATATCAATAAAATTCTTGATTGCTAATAATACTCTTAATAAGGTACAATTTTGAATATTTCAATGTTTCTTAGATTTCAAAAAATAAGATATTTATCTCATTTATTTACATTTATTAAACAAAATTTTCTAGATTTTAAAATATAAATTGTACGATTCATTACTCTTTTCCATAGATTTTCATCCAATCATTTTCACAATACTCCAAAAATCAATCATAGAAATAAAAAATTTTCAGATCGTGCACAGATTCTAGTTTTTCAACGTAGAAGAAATCTCCATTCCTATTCTCGTGAAGCATAAGGTTTTAAATGAACTCCAGGAATATTTATTTACACTGCGATAAGTGTCTCGCAATCAACAACACGAGCGAACGATTCTCAAAAGACGATCTCTCAACCATTCCACGAATTTAACGACGCTGCTCGTATCGATCCTTTTGATTTGAACAAGGTTTGTGTCTCCACGCCTCTTAATGAGACCTGTGAAAGCCTCAAAAGATTCATCTACTGTTCGTAGAATATTAAACGGCCGGTTGCTATTGCCAGTACAATATCGACACAGTAGAAAAGCCGATTATTTCCGTAGTGATGCTGACTATTGTGGAAAAGATCTCTGTTTCTCTTTCTTGTCCTTAAACTCGTATATTTTTAATTGACCTAGTTTATGTTCTTTTGATTGCAGGTCATCAATGGCTGAAAACGAATCTGGACATCATTCCTGAGTCTGGTTGGTCGGTGGATCCATTTGGTCATGGAGGTACCATACCTTACTTTCTGAAAGCATCTGGAGCTTCTGGCACAGTGATCCAGAGAATACATTACGCTTGGAAGCAATGGTTCGCCAAAAAACAATATGGCGATTTTATCTGGCTCCAACCGTGGGATCAGATTGGCAAAGCTGATATGCTGACTCATAATCAACCGTTCGATATCTATAATATCAAGCATTCTTGTGGCCCACATCCTCATGTTTGTCTCAACTTCGACTTCAGAAAGATTCGCGGAGAGTATACTGAATATTCAGTCAGAGCAGTAGAAATCACTCCAAATAACGTGAAACAGATGGCAGAATTGCTTTTGGAACAGTATTCTAGGACTGGATCATTGTTCATGCATAATGTGGTGCTAATGCCACTTGGAGATGATTTCAGGTAAAATTGATTTTATTTGATGTAAAAGTTATAAGAAATTGTTTAATTAAACATTAAACATAAGATACAGAATAGCAAGTTTATATTAATTTTAATTAATTCGACTTTAGTTAACTTTAATGATAGTAAGATTGATATTAATCTAATAATTCGTAAATATTTATATATGTCTACAATGTTTATTTTCGCCTGTTGCAGGTACGATCATGCTATCGAGTGGGACCAACAGTATACCAATTATAAGATTCTAATGGATTATATCAACAGCAGAAAAGAAGAATATAATGCAGAAGTAGTATTTGGTACACCTAAAGACTACTTCCATGAGATCAGAAAACGCGTAGAGAATTTTCCAACTTTGAAGGGTGATTTTTTCGTATATTCTGACATCTTCAGCGAAGGCAGGCCAGCCTATTGGAGTGGTTACTTTACGACAAGGCCATATATGAAGATCCTAGATCGTGAACTGGAAGCGAACCTTCGATCAGCGGAGATTCTTTACACTATTGCGTTAAATGTGGCGAAACAATCTGGAAAAGATTTTATGTTGTATGAAACATATTTTGAAAAGCTGGTGAAGGCTAGAAGAAATTTAGGTTTATTTCAACATCACGACGCGATTACTGGCACCTCCAAATCTTTTGTTATGAAAGACTATGCTTTAAAACTCTTTGAATCTATATCAGATACGACCAGTCTGCAAAGTTTCGCCATTCAATCTTTAGCTGGAAGTCCAAGTAAGCCTAATTCGGTATATGTTCTGGCTGAATCAGATAGAGATAGCTATGAGAAATTACCAAAGAAGATACCTATCGGAATTAACGGTCAGGAAACGAAGAAAATAGTATTATTTAATCCTTTGGCTCAACCCAGACACGAGGTAATCAGTCTAAAAGTCACTTCTTATAAAATCAGAGTTCTGGACACACAAAAGAATCCTATTCCGTATCAGATAGCTCCTGTGATGAATGCAACTAGTATCACTCATGATGTTTATGTTTTATTATTTGTGGTAGAACTGAAACCTCTAGCCATAGCTACTTATCATCTTCAACAAATTGATAAAGTACCCATGGAGGCTATTTCTACGGTATATTGCAGTAGATGCGGCAAGGACAATGTATTTCCTATCAAACCTATGCAAGTAGGAGATGTTCAATTGGAAAATCAAAGAATGAAGTTATTGTTTGATGGTCAGACTGGTTTCTTAAAGAGAGTAACCAAAAAAGCGACTGGTAAAATCATGCAATGTGCCATTCAATTCGCTGCCTATCCGTCCGCACAGTTTCATAGTGGGGCCTATTTGTTCATGCCTGATCCTAATCTTCGTGATATTGATAAGGATGTTCTAGAAGCTTATACACCTCATCAAAAGATTTACATCGTTAGTGGAAGTCTCAGTTCAAGATTGACTGTTGAGTATGGGAAATTGTTGACTCATCATGTTGCCATCTACCACAGAGATGACGGATTGGGTGAAGCAATTTATTTGAGAAATATCGTAGACTTTGAAACCCCTCCAAAAAATCGTGAAACAGAAATGTTCATGCGACTGCAGACTGACATACTCAATGGAGATCCTCCAGAATTTTATACAGATTTAAATGGTCATCAGATGATCAAGAGAACAAAGATAGATAGGATTGGCATTGAGGGCAATTACTTTCCCATCACTACTATGGCCTACATAGAAGACACTAATCACAGACTTACTCTTTTAGTGAATCACTGCCAAGGAGCAGCCAGTTATCAACCAGGATGGTTAGAAGTTATGTTAGACAGAAGAACATTATATGATGACTCCAGAGGAATGGGTGAAGGTCTTTTGGATAATCGAAGAACTATCATTAAGCATTGGTTATTGCTAGAAGACATTATTGGGGAAAAGGACAAGTATTCCAAACCTTCACTTTTTGCTAATCATTTGAGCAATGCTCTCAATTATCCTGTGAATATTTTTGTGGTGGATGGAACAGAAGGCGATATAGCAATGGTACCAGAGGTTAGGCTACTTAGTCAGAGTTTTCCATGTGATTTACATTTGCTAAATCTTAGGACCAATCATGATCAAAAACTGCCACATTTTCCTGTGAATAGTGCTCTGATGGTGCTCCATAGACAGGGTTATAGTTGCTCTGTGGGAGTTGATGTTGCTTTAAAACACTGTCCACTAACAGAGAAAATCGGTCAGGGGACATCTTTCTATAAATTAGCAAATCTGAACGTGACCAAAACCTCGCTAACTGGCACCAAGACGAAGCAGAGGTTAAAAGATGGCCTTCAGGAGGTGAACTTACAACCTATGGAGGTGGAAACGTTCAACGTGAACTTTGTCCAATGATCCTAAATCAAACAGAAGCATTCACTTGCCTTCTGAACAGGACACTGCCCTAGCAGATGCTACCTCTTCGGATCTTCGTGCAATCCACTAGAATCAGAAAGGGGATTATTCTGCAAATGGCGCTGAAACCATGTTCTTCTTGCCCCTCGTTTTTTATCTTGTGTTCCATGGTCAATTCAGTGTACATATTAGACGCCACAGTGAAATTGACTGTGTTTGCACCAGTGTACATATACATACACACACCAGGTCATCACATACTGTACTGTTTCATTTTTCAGTTGGTTTTCCAATTAGACAAGCAAGGATAGGAAGGGAGAGTCAACATAAGAAAAGAAATTATACAGATTCAGCTGTGTCTTCTAACTTCATGTTCTCTCTAGTTCACAAGCTTTCCCGTGCATCTCGAACTACAGAAACTCTTCACAGTCTTTCTTCTCTGAA